TGGGGAGGTAATGTGACTGGGTGGGCGTGGCCAACTTTTTTTTTTTTTACTTTTAAAACCATTTTTTCTACAACCTCTTTGGCTGAAGAGGTTGTAAAAAAATGCTTTTAAAAGCCTCTGACGATTCCAGTTGAGTTGCCTGATCGTCAGAGGCTTTTAAAAGAAAAAAGCCTCTGCCAATCAGGCAACTAAGATGGGATCGTCAGAGGTTTTTAAAAGCATTTTTTCTACAACCTCTTCAGCTGAATAAGTTGTAGAAAAAAATGCCTTTAAAAGTCTCTGAGAATCCGAGCTGAGCCGCGCAATCATCAGAGGCTTTTTTTTTTTTACTTTTAAAAGCATTTTTTTGGCCAAAGAGGTGGTAGAAAAAATGCTTTTAATTTTTTTTAAAAAGCCTCTGATAATTGCGTGGCTCAGCTGGGAATGGGGGGGGGGCAGGGATTTTTGCTACCGGTTCTCCGAACCACCTGCCTCCATCGCTACCGGATCGGGCGATCCGGCCCAAACCAGGAGCATATCAGCCCTGTCCTTCATGACTACATACTTTGATGACTTCGTTAAATATTAATCCCATTCCTTCTCTTGCTATCTTCATCTTTTTCAATTAGGAAGTTTAGCATCTTAAATACCAATTTCTTTTACATCTGAATACTCTGAGCTATTTTAAACTCTCTCTCTCTCTCTCTGTTTGTGTGTGTGTGTGTGTGTGTGTGTCTGTGTCTGTGTGTGTGTATGTGTCAGTTTTCAATTTTCAAATCAGTTTTTGAGTTAGTTCCTGCAGTTTTCTTGTCAAGATATTTGGGGGGGGGGGCGGAAGGGGGGGCGGGCCCTCTTTCTTAGGGCTGAAAGAGAGTAACTGCCCCATGGACCCCTAGCTGACATTGTGCTTAAGGAATGACTGAAACTCGGTCTCCTAATATCACCATTCCAAATTGTCCATTAAATAATGCTACCTATACTATGTAACCTATGCATCCTCCTCATTATCTGAAGCTCTGAAAATTTCAAAAAAAAAAAAAAAGGTTTAAAAGTGCCTATTGAAACAATTAATCTTAAATCTTCATATTAAAATAAACAATATTTGCTCTATGTTGTAGCTTTAAAAATAGAAAGGTGACATTTCATTTAAATATACTCTTTTCAAAGTAACTTATATATTGCAACCTTAAGCTATCGTTTTCGGTTACCATTACTCTATTACTGGGATCCAAGGTCTTCAAATTTACTATGGGTTTTCTGTCTCGTGCTTTTTCACCCAGGAGCTACCTTGGAGGATTGGAGGCACCATGAAACAATATCATAGATACTTCTTCTCTACCTTGTATAAGTTCTTTAGAACAATATTTCTAAACCTCAATTACTTTAAGATGTGTGGACTTCAAATATTCATTTTAAATGATAATGCTACATTTTTCAAACATTCTCCATATCAACAAATTATATAATCATTAAATAAATGAAGTAGGACTACATAATTAATCTCTTAATTCTATTTGGATATGTAATTCAAATAGATCTATTTCAATGTCATATTGTTTTATGGCTTTTAACATAATTTCATAACAGCCAGTTTGGGACATATAACTAGGTATACTGGTCACAACTATAAGAAATTAATATATTACAATTATAATTGTGCAGCATGTAAAGAGTGGCATTTTTAAGGCACAATCAAGATAATTTCCATTAATGAATATTCATTGTTACATGAATTACAAGTTGAATAATAAATGTAACTGTTTTATATGTAATCATGCTTTACACATATACTTGACTTTTTACTGTTTCTATTAAAGTCAATATATTTATTTGTTCTAATTATAAATATTTAGATTGTTTTCTCCCAAAGATAGCAGTTGTGAATTTATATAATGAGTCAAATTTATATATTGATTCCTTGATTTAGATAATTCACAAAATGGACAAATCCAATGACTAATGGATCATTCTGTCAGATGTTATCATGAATTCGTAATTCTAAACAATATGGAATAATTTCACTAAATGCTTTGATATACTTCCTACAAATGGCTGTGTTTGCATCAAATGGTAGATGCTAGTGAATCTTGGCTTTGTTTTCCCATATCATAGGCCATCTCTCTTTGTGTCAATATGCTACGTGTACAAGAAGAAGATTTTGATATATCACATGTTACATTGCTAAGTAACATCCTGGCAAAATGTTATAATATTCCGATTTCACAGAATTTGTATTCTACTATTCAGCATATACAAGAACCATGATACAGTTTCCTGATTATAACATATATTATTTTGTTTAGATAATATCGATAACTCAATCTTTAAACTTAAACTTTAAAGTATTTTCTTCATTTTGTCCTGTTTTTATATATTTCATGGAGCAGAATAGGAGATTCACCTTGGAAATCTTTCTTCTTGGCTTTACAAAATGTACTGTATCTTTCATGATATGTGGAAATTGTGTAAATGTTGTACACTAGGGTCACTACTAAATAATTTCCCCAATTTTTGAAAAGCAGGCAGATCAGTGCCATTGTGCAAGTAACATATTTTCTTCTAGTGTACCAATTTTATTTGCTATCTCTAATAAACAATATAAACTGAAACACAAAAGAAAATTTTCTTTTCTTTGAAAATGGGGAAACGTGGGGTATAGATCCCCTCTAAATTACTGCTATAAATTTCAAACCAAGATATGCTTGTCTAGCTATAATATGACATGTTGGTGACATTAGGAGTTAAAATATATTTCTTCCTTCCAAATTTAATGATAGCTAGAAATAATTGGAATGTAAATAACTAATAATAGAATAAAACTTTTTAAAAATAGGCTATTATTTTACATTATAATATATTTGTGCTATGTTTTTACATTTGATCAAAATTCAGAGAGGCAATTTTCTAGGTAGCTGATTTTGTAAAGTGAACTCATTTAAACTGTTTTTGTCCATGCGTACTAATATGTTTATTAATCTAAATAACTACTGTGGCTTTGTACAGAAGGTGGCACACAGTTTGTGGAAAATCACATCCCATTTTTTTGTAGGAAAATATGATGGGGCAAAAGAAGTAGGAGATGAACCACCTTTGGTGGAAAATAAAATAATAAAAAACTTAAGAATGCTCTGGAGAGAACTGAGGGTTTTTTGTGCATTTTTTGATTAATGGCAATAGAGAATTGTACATAAAATTTGGTTACACTGATTTAAATCTTGTTTATGCATCCTAAATTTGTGCATGATGATGCCCAGTGAAAAACTAAGTTATTCAATGAAAAGAAAATCATAATTGTTCGTTGGAATCCTAGCATATTATTGACTCATATAATAGTTCAAAATTTACAATTCCATCTCAGCATTCATCATAAAATAATTTAAAAGGCATGCTTATAACTCCTTTTAGGTATTTTGTGTGTGTGCACATAGTACACAGAAAAGGTTATATCACAGTGGCTGGCTCTTCTAATGCATTTAGAATGATTGCTTTATTGTCAGAGAAGAACTCTCTTCTTATTCATATTATTCAAATGTGTGGAAATACTGTAAGCACTTTCAAATATGAGAATTGAAGGAGATCTCTCTCTCTCTCTCTCTCTCTCTCTCTCTCTCTCTCTCTCGCACACACACATACACACACACACTCATTAGAGCAGTCATGTCTCTTTTTTCAGATTGACATGCCTGCTCCCTAAACTGCTCTTAGCTACCTCTGAATGTATGAAGAGCCACTTGGCGATGCCTTTTCCTACCATGAATTATGAAACACCTCTTTTGAAGGATCTGCCCAGTCCTTACATTATGAGCAAAAAGGGTTCTTATTGGCATACTCAGAAACATGTTTTTCTAAACACTTAATATTTCACATATAAGGAATTTATTAAAATCAGTCTATAAATATTATAGTTGAAGATGATACTTATTAAAGAACATATCTAGAAAGGGATTATTATATATTTAGGATTAGAATGATAAGAATTCCATTTTAGGTTTTTCTTTTTAGAACTTCTCAATTCTTTTCTTAACTACTATGAGAATAAAAAAAAACTTGCTTATTGTAGGGTGATTTTTTAATAATTGTTAGTTAAGCTATAAAAGTGTAAATAAGTTCCTTATGAGAATAAGGGACTTATTTCTTAGTTGCTTTTTGGTAGACAATATGAAAATTGCATTTAAAAATTAAACTTTGTACAAGATTTTATTGTAAATCAGTGAGTTTGGGAATTAAGAACCAAATTTGGCAGATTATAAGATTTTTTTTTATAAAATGTAATAACAGGAGGCATAATGTAACATTATCTTCTAATTAAGTCATATTAAAACCACTCTGAATACTAGATTTCATCAATAAATCAAATCTGTATCTAGAAATACAATACTTTATGGATTTAAGGCAACCTTTCCAAAAGTAATGAACCCAAATGTACTGAGATAGAAACTTTTGGAATTTTTCTACAGAATGCTGTTGGAAGCAGGTGTGCACACAGGAAGGCAAGAGATAGCATAGGTTTTAGGATGTTGTTATACAAGTGACATGCATTATGTACTTTGCATCAGTATGACCCATGTCATTGACACAATGATTCATGTCATGTCAGTGTGTCTTAGAATGGACACCTGCATCTGGAAGCTGCTGTCCTGGTATATTAAGAGTTGCCAGGTCAAAGCAATCTGATTTAAAGCTAAGACTTTTAACTATTCTTAATTTAAATTTAAGCTACGGTTTCATTCTAATGCTTCAGTTTCAATATTCTACTCCAGAATAAAATGTTAAGTTTGAGAAAATGTAGATGTTGTAAATGCTCATATTTTTTAGATTGAATGACAGGGGACACAATAATTTGCTATAGTAGGAAAAGAGTTCCCATACAGCAGGATTTGCAAACTGTTAGCCCTGAGCTCTTCCAGTTGTGAGCATTAAAAAGAGGCAATAGGAAACATTTAAAATGAAACCAGAAAGAAGAAGAAAAGTCTAACCTTTATAAATCCAGGGAAAACCAGAAAATGACACTTCCCGTTCCATTGTTTGTAATCCAACATTTTATACAGACAAAAATAAAATATATTGGGGCATTCTGACAAATGCTACAAACATTCAAACATTTTGTTTTTATACAACAACTATGTAAGAGGAACACACAATTATGTTAAGTTCCTCCTATGCCCCCATAAGCCCTTTTCTGCTCTCTGTGAACACAAAGTCTAACAGGCTTATATTGTAGGTTTCAACTGTGAATGGCTTCAATATATTTAGATTTAATTTTAAAACTGTTGGCCTAATATGGCTATACGTTGATCATTACAATAATGGCTTGAAAGCAAAATAAAAATGAACAAATGAACAAAATTGCAATGATATTTAAGGTGCTTTCTTTTTCTTTTGTTAAGGAGTTATCACTTTTCATGGCCAGTTCATGGGTCTTACACACTCTATGCCTTTTACTTGTCATTCTTTCATATATAGTCTATCAAGAGAATGTTACTTCAAATACAGAGCTGAGTAAATTGTCATATAAAAACATTTGGAAACAAGGAAATGATACTGCTCTATTATTATTGAGATTTGAAAATTGTATTAAATGCTTAAGCATGGTGATGTATCAGTTATTTTTGTTTCTTTTTCTTTGAATGCTGTCAAAGCACAATCAAATTATAGTAAAAAGATATTGTTCCACAATGGGATTTTCCAACTTCATTGTGTACTGCTGCTTTGTAAAATTGAGTTTTAATTTATGATCCCATATGACCATATTCTGTAGAAAGATGTCACATGCCTTGAGTCGGTTCTAATGCTTGCTGTTCTTCAAGGAATAAGCTGATAAATATTTATACAGCAGTCTTACATACTTGTGGAAGGATACAAGTACAAGACTGGGAGTTATCAAGTCATATATTTTAATTTGCAGCTGCCAGATGATGTGGCAGTAGTAGTAGCAGAAGAAGAAGAAGAAGAAGCAACAGAAGCAGAAGTAGGGGCAGTTGTGGCTTGACTGCCAACATAGAGTGGGTCCAAGCATGCCACTTTAGCTGCAAAGAATGAGTGGATGCAATGCAGAACTGCAAATAAATTTGAAAATTCCAATTCCTGAAAGTGAAAGCAAAATGATCAGGTATGAGAGACAAGCCCATTTATTTAGTTATCATATATTGTGATAAAAGCACCAAGTAGCGGTTGTAGAGACACAAACACAAAGGCTTAGGAAAATCAAATATATTCATAACACACCCAGTTCTATTATTTATTGTGAAACTAAATGTTTTTGTCTTACTACAAAATTACTTTCTTTGCACCCAGATTACAAAACTCACAGTTTTTATGATTTTAAAATATAAATTTGTAACTATAATTATTTTATATTTTCAAATAATTGGGAAAAGGTAGTTAAATAAAAAAGATACTATGTGATGGGTATAATCCTTGTGGTTTGCTCTTTTAAGTAGTCTAAAATAAATTTTAGTTTACATACATTTTTAATCAATGCAGAAACTCAGAAAATTTCTGATCATAAAATTGTAAAATTTTTTAAAATCTCTGTGTTCGTGTATATCAGAAATACAAAATATCAGAATATTGTATATAAAGAGCCTTTTTACCCATTTCTTTGCCAGACTATTCCTCAAGCACATCCTGATTTTGGTCATTAGAAGTCGAAACAGGAGACCTTACAACATAACCCACTGTGACATTACTAATTTTTTGAAATTTAGATTTTATCTTATGTATCCCTACTGAATAGGAAAAATTACAAAAGAATAAAATTGAGCTTTATGAGATTTTTCCTCAAAGCCTCCAATCTCCAACTTTTCAGCAGCAGAAGTTACTGCCTATATGATATGATGGCACAACTAATGTATCATTATTGGCCCCTATCAGTCCTGATATTTTAAAAGAGAAATAAGTGATTTTTCTACTTTTGTCTGCTACTCCTACTTTGTGTGTGTGTGAGAGAGAGAAAGCTAACTCAACATCTTTGAGTTAGCTTTCACTCCCAGTAACAGTATGGTCAAGTCCCTGCAGTTTTCTTGGAAACATTTTTGAAAGTGGTTGCCCTTGCCTCATTCCTAGGGTTGAGAGAGAGTGACGGCCCATCCAGCTGGTTTCAGGCTGAATATAGGAATAGAACTTATGGTCCATTAGTTACTATCCTGATGCTTTAACCACTACATCAAACTGCTTTGTCTTCTCTTAGTTAGCCATAGTCATATTGCTGTGCCAATTCAGTTCTGAACTCAATACACAATGCTCTGGCCAGTTTTGGACTCAGACAAATTGGTTAGAAAAGGGTGACAGTAAGTACGTCCTGTTACTTAGTTATCAATAGTTTGATAATAGGAAAGGAATTTTGTTCTTCTCTTTACCTTTGCTTCAATCTGCTTAGTGTCGGAATTTTGAAATAAAAATTTAATTTTGCTCTTGCCATCATCTGAAGACCCTTTAAGCTGGGAAAATTTGTACCGCCATAGTACAGCCTAAAGGAAACAAACAACAAAAACACATATATACATTAATGTACAAAACTGCTACAGAAGAAAATGCATATCTGAGAAATTTTCAACCTGCCAATATTAGCAAATATATATATTTTCTCTCATCTGAAGTGAACTTTTTAACTTCAGTGATCCTATTTAATAACAGAAGAGAGACATTGTGAAGAAAAAAAGTTATTTAGTTACATTTTATTAAACAAATGGCCAGTGTAGTAATCTGGCTCTATTTTCTAGTCATCTTTATTACTAAAACAAGGTATCGGTTTCCCATTATGCAATCAGTGATTTGGTAACTACTTCATTTATAGCTGTTGGCAATATAAACTGAGAGAATGCCATCTACAGGCAATCTGAAGATATATTAAGAAACTGTAAGTGACTCTTGCTGCTTTTAACTAATAAATGGAAATTTTGAATGAGCATTAAGATGTATAGATCATTTGAAACTAAAATATCATCTACAATGCAAATCTGCACTATGGAACAATTCATCCTTTCTTTTAAACCAAGATTGATGAAGTACTATAAGCGCCACCTACCAAACACATATCTTGGATATACCAAGATATTTACAACAGAGTTCTCAATATGCTAAAGTCAGACTGGAACTTATCATGTTTCATACTCCATATGTACTCAATGTATATGTATATGGGTTGAATGTCATTCCCATATGACATAGTTTTGGAATCCTTCTCTGAGATTTAATATTATCCTATGTTAAGCATAGTTTTAGCTTAATACTGCATTTTTTAAAATTGGGGGAATATTGTGGAATGTTCTGTATCTCAATTTGGTTGATGTCATACAATCACAAAGTATTGAACCTCCTTAAGGGACAAAACATAAGAGACACCATCGATTGACAGGGCTTGTTTCTGTCTTGGAAAATTACAGATTAAGAGAAAGAGTGTTTTAAACAAAGAGAAAACACTCCTGTTAATTAGATATATAATCCTTTGTGTGGTATACCAGTATACATATTATAAATATACTTGCCCCTGAAGAAAGGCGAAGCAAAATTTAGGATACAACAAAAGTAAAACAGGTATTGTATGTCGATTAATATGGGAAAACAGTAATCAAAATGGTATTGTTTTCTTCAGCAATAATGATAGATATTAAAACTCATCTATAAAGTCATAACTTAGCCACCCTGAGACAATCTATGTTGGCCAATATTCTGCCTATAGTAATATATAAAAACGAAAACTTAAGAGGCAGGATAAGATACAGATATCTATCTCCTAGTGTTAATCCTTGAGCTAATATCATATTTCTTCTCTTCCTCACATTCTCCCTCCTGCCCTCCCTCTCTCCTATCTATCTATCTATCTATCTATCTATCTATCTATCTATCTATCTATCTATCTATCTATCTAATCTATATTTCCCCCGACAAGCATACCAAGAAAATAATTACATAAATAATAAAAAGAAAGGGTAATTATGTATATATTGATGTACACACAGATATATCGTGTTTCCCCAAAAGTAAGACCCTGTCTTCTATTTTTTTTGAACCCTGAAATAAGTGCTTGGCCCAGGGGTGAAATGCTCCCAGTTCGGACCGGATCGCCTGATCCGGTAGCAATGGCGGCAGGTGGTTCAGAGAACTGGTAGCAAAAATCCCTGCTGCTCCCCCCCATGCCCAGCTGAGCTGCATGATCATCAGAGGCTGGTTTTTTTTTTTACTTTTAAAAGCATTTTTTCTACAACCTTCCCTACAATAGGGAAAAAAATGCCTTTAAAAGCCTCTAATAATCCTAGCTGAGTTGCCTGATTGTCAGAGGCTTTTAAAAGCATTTTTTTCTACAACCTCTGGCTTGGCCTTATTGCCATGCGCTCAAAAGCCTGATTGGGCTTATTATCAGGGGATGTTTTATTTTGGGGAAAACAGGGTACATGGACAAATTCTATGCTATAGAACTGAGTTCCCCAACCTTTCTGGCTTTGTGAACCAGTGGGCGAGGAGACAATGGTTCAGCCCAAGCAGTGGGCAAGTGCATGGCACATGCAGCTGCATTTGCATGAGCGGCGGGCACATGCACCTGCCCCTCATGCAAATGGAGCATGCACGCATACCTGATACTCAGGCGAGTGGGGATGCACATGTGCACTTACCCGCCACTTCTGTGGCTCAGTTCCAAAAGGCTCAAGGCCCAGTAGTAGGCCAGGGCCTGAGAATTGTGGACCCCTGCTATAGAAACTCTCTGCCATACATTTTGTTATCACACCTATAAAAAAACAGTTATGTCTTTGGTTACACCCATAGTTTTTATGCCATTGGTGGCACCTGTGGAGATCCCTCAGTTTAGATGGGCATTTGGTGATCAAAAATGTTGGTCTCAGTAACAGGAATAACACATAACACACACATCACAAAACTATGAGATATAAGACTAAAGAAATAGTAATATGAGCAATCTGGGAGTGTTCAACATATGTGTGCTGAGAAAAATTTGGAAATATCTGAAAATCTTTAGAAATAAATTCTTGGAAATGAATAGGCAATTTCAGTCAAACCAGTCGAATATGTGAATTGTATAAATTTTGGCATATATTAGATTTCTACTAATTTTAAAATAGGTAGTTGCCTTTAAATATAATTATAAATCAACATTAATTAGTGAATGATTATTAAATCAACTGTTATTTCAGAAGGGTTTTCAGAGACAGAACATGGATGCCTTCTCTATACTTCAACATTCCTTTGTTAAACTTATGGAGCAATACTGCTCCATTAAACTAAAAAGGAGAGACAGAAATAACTTTAGGAGCAAATGTCAAAAGATTGAAAACTCCATCCATTAAAGAATGTTCCTTGCCCCAGTGATCCTACGGAAATTACAGCTTTCATTTATAGTTTAGCACCACCTGATTTGCTGATATGTTTTCTGCTGCTGTCTTTTTGCTGTGAAGTAGAGATGGGAAATTTGTCTGGTTACTTACAACTTCCAACAAACCTCACTATTGGCTCTGGTGGCTAGAGATTGACACTTCTGGTAGCTGAGTGAGAGGTGGGACAAAAATGGCTTCCCTGTAGTAAATAGGCTTGAATTTGGTAGAAACTAAGCATTTACAATCCATTTGATTCAAAACTTTTGATATTTTGACATTGAGAAAAAAACACTAATAAATCCATAACTGGGGAAAAAAATAGGCTTGAATTGGATTTTCAAAGTATGTGTATGACTAAGGAATTATCTACAAGCAATTGCTCAATAGCATTTTTTTTTTTGGACAACCCTTTGGTAACTGTTCTGTTGCAACCAAAAGTCCCTGAAAGGGGTAAAAATGGTCAATATGGGCACAGGATCCAAATAAGAGGAATGAATATACACAATGCTGATCCCAAAATGTTTATATAAACTTTTAGCAAACTTGGAGCAGTAAGGATGCAATTTGACTAAGCTTCCCAGTGTTAGGAATAAGATGTTGGCAAGTTATCCTTTTCTGTGCATACTGGTGGATATTCTTATGCATTGCTTTATACTTATAAGAAGCATGGAGACCAGAAGATGATGCTAACATGAAGCATATTCTAAATCTAAAAGGATCTGCAACTGTTCAGATTTTAAGATCTTCATATAAGATATTTCTGGGCGGTTCAGTATGGAGACTGTAAAATCTTTGCTCCAAAGGACTTCACCTATTGCTTATTCTGGTATCTCTGTGATGCCAATTGACAGTTTCCTTTTTTTTTTTTTAAAGAAAGGGCTTTAAATTTGAATATTTTTAAACAGCAGATTATGCATTTTCACAACTTTAAAAAATGACTTTGTTTTATATCTTGCTTACATAAGATGCACAGGAACCATACTTGAAGAAGAGAGTGACTTAAAATAAATGAAGTAAACCACTTAACATTCATGAATAAATGCAGACTGCCTGAAGGAAGAAGCCAAAATAAATAAACAAAACACAGAAGTGCTATAACTGCATAACTGAGCAAGATTTGCTAACTTGACTCTATATTAGCATGTAGAAATTGTGCTTATTGATTTATTTGATTCATATCCTACCTTTGCTTTGTACAACTTTGTATATAACACTTCCTCCTATTCTTTTCCCCACAGTTAACCTATGAGGCGGGTTGGGCTGACAGAGAGTAGCTGGCCCAAATTCATGTGGGCTAAGGGACGCACAGAATTCTTGGTCTCCAGACTTCTACTCTAGCACCTTAATTGCTATTCCATGTGACTTTCCATATAATAATAGCCTAACAAATGCTCCAGTCTTTCTATTATCAGACTGATTTAATGTATCAAGTGTGGCAAATGTTAAGTATGGTAGCAGATAACCTTCCCTTCTAAACAAATTACATTGTAAGAGGAGTTATCATTTGGGAGGCCAGATCCCACAGAATAAAGTAGAAGCAAGTTTGTCCATTGTGGTGTAGGGAAATAATGAAGAATGGAAATGGTTTCTTCTGCATGCTGTTTAACCAGGTGGGACACTACTGTGCTCGCAAGGCATTTTTTCCCCTATTTTTTGTTTTGTTTTGTTTTTACTGCAAATGATCTCATGACAAGTTTCAAAAGAACCCCATTCTTATTCTTTTTTACTGCATCAAATGGGTTTTCTCAGTATGAAAACATTTAAAAAGAAAAAAAAATAGCTTCAAACATGTATATTATAAAGCCGTTCTATTTAGTTATGCCTTGAATTACCATCCTTGCATCAGCCACACTTCCTGCAATTTTATACTCATCATGAATAAAAATAGCTTGCAGTATGCTGGGTGCTGGGTTTGGCATGGTGAAAAGCTGTAATTATTTCTAGGGCCCTTTTCCTTGCTTGGCACACACATTATTTAATTTTAATTGGAAGCTGCACAATTAGCTTCAATGCCTATTAATAAGACCCAATTTCAGAAAATATGGAACTGCTAAAGCTATTTGAATTCTAGAGCCAGCAATATTGAGAAAATAAGGCCCATTTAGTACAGTAATACTTTAGCAGTGGACAGCCAAATGTCT